TCGCGAGAGAACACCTTGCACGCGCCGACTCTACCAATGTTGCTAACACACCACCCTTATAGGACGAGCTCGCAGAAGCCCGGAGATGACCTGTTGGCCAATTTCAGACAACAATTCCCTGAAGTGGCCGCAGCAACATCAGCACCCGTGGTAGTTGCTTCGACCACCACCGCGACCACCGGTCAAGCCGATGTCGCTATACTTTCACAGGAGAGGTGCGTTGTTCTTAGCATTTCTTTTCGTTCTCTCAGTCCTTCATAACGGGGCGCATGGCTCCGCCGTGAGCATAGTCCCACTTCCTCTACTACCAAGCTGTTTTTGCTTCTGTAAGCAATTTTGGTGATGAGACAGTGCCGTCGGTTTTGCAAAAGAAACTCGATGCCTTAGCCATCAATTGCAGAGCTAGTTTTATCCCAGCGAAGCCTGTGCAGTAAAGGTCAATTACTAACAATAGTCGCATAGAGCCCACAGCCTAAGCCATGAAGCGTTCCGTGATCAAGATCCCACTCCACGGGCCTCAAATGAGCCCTGGAGGTTCACGCCTTCTTTGTTAGACCCGGGTTCATTCTCCTTTGCCAACTTCGCCAACCAGCCTTCGGGATACTATACCCCTACGCCTGGTGGGACCAACACCCTTTACCATCCTCAGGCTGGCGACTTGCACACCCCGTCCCTCAGCCTAGGGATGGGTTTGGGGACACCACTATCAATGCCAACGACTGAGGGCGGCGCGCACCCAGGGGCTACAACAATGGATCTCGCCGGCTTCCACCATAGCTTCCACCCTCACTCCTTCCAACACTTCAACCCCTTCATCCAGCCGCCGCAGCCTCAGCCATCATTCGCCCCGTCTTCCTTCGTTCACCAAGACACGGGATACGAGACAATGGACCAGGACGGGTCTCCTATGGATTCGGACCCCGCAGATGAGAGGCTGGGGTCTATTGATGGTAACTTTCAAGGACATCATTCCCCAATGATGAACTACCAAGCAAGGCAGTTTGGCATGTCTATGAGCATCCCCCTTCCGGCATCAGCCGAAAAGTTTCGCTTTCATACGGCATTGAACGCTCCTACCGCCATGATCAAGCATGCGGATGAGATCCCTGTGACATATCTCAATAAAGGTCAGGCCTATTCTCTATCCGTTGTCGATACGGCCCCTACTCTACCAATTGCACCTGGTACACGTTTCAGGACCTTCGTGCGTGTCTCGTTCGAGGACGAGCAGCAGCGACAGAGGCCCGGGGTGTGCTGGAGCTTGTGGAAGGAAGGACGCGGTACCAACGAGGCTCACCAAAGAGGAGGGAAATTACAGGCCGTTGAGTATGTCGAGGCTGGGCAACCTGCGGAAGGCGATGACAAGCGAACACGAATCGAACTGGAAACCTCGTCTTTTGACGGGTTCTCAGTCATCTGGACCCCGGGTGTCAACGGCGCTGTCGAATGCAACATTGCCGTCCGCTTCAACTTCCTCTCGACTGATTTCAGTCATTCCAAGGGGGTGAAGGGAATCCCGGTCCGCCTATGCGCCAAAACACACCCCCTTTCTGCCGATCACGGCCAACCTCCGCCTTCCGACAACACGGCTGAGATTTGCTATGGGAAAGTCAAGCTGTTTCGAGACCATGGCGCCGAGCGCAAACTGTCAAACGACGTGGCACACGTTAGGAAAACAATTGACAAGCTAAAGCAGCAGATCGCGCAGGCTGAGAGCGGGATGAAGGACTTCAGCAAGAGGAAGCGGTCGGGAGGCGTCCAAATCAAGAACTCGGCCGGGGTCCAGAGACCCGGTAAGGTGCAAAAGCACAAGCGCACTTGGTCAATGTCATCGACTAGCTCCGCCGGTGGAGGGGCCCGAATTCCTCTGGAAGAAGATCTCCATCTCAAGCTTCAGACTCTGCAGGACATGTTTACCAGCACCCGCCCTGTCAGCGTACTGTATCTGCGAGGTGACGAGCTGGATGACCCCGACTTGCACCCAGTTTCGCTTCCTGGCGACTCGCTTGATTTGGTCAAGGTCGAATCAAGAGACAGTGCCGCTTGGCGGAGCGAACGAAGTTCCGTTGCCGGGTCATCCTTGGTCTCGCCGTCACCGAGTTCCTTGTCGCTTCACTCCCAGATCTCAGTGGGCGGTTCAACGCAGCAATGGCAAGAGTACCAGCAGGCCGGCTCCGGCACCCACTCCACGAGGCAAGGGTCAGCCCAGCCAACCAAAATCCGGCTACCTGATGACACTGGGGGCTTGTCAAATTGGATCGAGGCACTGGACGTAGACCCAGCGTATCGGCCACCGCCCAAGCGAGCAACCAAACCGGTTGCCTGCTTTTATGTCGCCCAGAGAGATCCTGCCAATCCAGCAGCCCGCGAACTCCATCGAGCAATCTACCTGATGCAGAGAACGGTGCGAGAGTTTGTTGGGCGTATTGCCAGCAAGTGGAATTTCGACGCAACCAAGGTCACCCGTACAGTACATGTCCTTCCACGCGGGCTTGAGGTTGAGATGGACGACGACGTGATTCAGGAGCTCCCTGAAGGGCAAGATATGACGCTTGAGATCACCGAAGTCGGCTCCCCAATCAAAAGGGACTGGGAAATGGTTGTCGACGCTCCCGGCGAGTCCGAGATGGTATCGCCCACAACGACTACACAGAGAGCATTCGAGTTGCGGCTAGCATATTAATTTTACGTCTACGCAGATATGACATACGACATGGAAAGGGCGGCAAATATCGGGACTGGGGTTAAATCGACCACTACAACGGGGCGGACGGGGATACCTCATCTAGACGGTGGAGGTGTTGGCGGTCTTTTTCGAGTCAACCGGCCACTGGGTCGACAAATCTTTAAAAACACACACGCTGCAAAACGGACTTGAAATTAGGACTTTGTTTGCGCTTTCCTGGCGTTGAGACGATTTCTCGGAGATACCATGCCCGCGTTGATGGGCACAGTCTAAGGTTTTGGCACAATTTTTCTCCACGTTCGGGGAGACTGATCGATTATCAGCTGCGAGGGACCTGGTACGAAAGATGGCTTGTTTGCGATTTCGACTTTTTGGGAAAGTGATTACTGGCGATGCTCAGATACCTCTGATTTATCAGTCGGGAAGGAGCCATGTCACGGCATCCCTTGTTAACATATATGGGTATATTTGTTTTCTTTTGTTGGGATCTGAATATCTTTATTTTTCTGGATTGGATTTTCTATTTTTGATCAATGGAGCGTCGGACGTACTATTTTTATTGTGTCCTGTCGCTACGGAGAGCATCTGTCCGAAGGAGGTAGCGGCAAACCTCAAAGTGTGAGAGCCTGTTGACTACCAAAAATCTCAGCCATTGTGGCAATTTTCTCACCAATTACCACTCGTCCACAGCGTCTCTCTCTCTACGTGTTCAGGGATCAGGGTTGAAAGCAACCTCGGGTTACTATCCCGTGTTTCTTGAAAGGTTTAATGGATGAATGACAGTGACCAGCTTCAGCTCTGCATTGTCAAGGGGGGGTTGGCTGATGCATGGCAGAGCGTTGTGGCAGACTGGAAGTGGTGTAACGCTGGTGGAGTCTGGCTACCAATCTCCTTTTCCCATTACTTCTGCTGCTTATCTATTGTCTACTTGGGCGACTGGGATACCCTACAACCTCTTAATCGGCTAATGTTTTAATTTTGGGGTTGGCACACGTCCAAAATATGGTGCCTCCTACCAGGCTGGCGAGTTGCGAATGTATGTACAACACATATGACAAGGCTGTATAAGGTGCTGGCTTATGATATGTTGGGTGGGAATGACCTCCCCCCTTCAAGCGTCGCTCCCATCAAACATACATAGGTATGTACAGACATAAATGCAAAAGAGCCATTTATCGTCATTCCTTGCTCGCCCAGTTAGACTGGCGATAGGTCGTTAAGATGGATGAGGTCAGGGGCGGAAACGGCGGATGTTGCCAACAACCGCCGAATGTGACTGTCGTGGTAACGGTGCTTGGTACGGGGGCGTAAATGAGGAACGGTCAATGGCATTATGAAATGAGGTGTGGCGTGTTTCGAAACGCGCAAGACAGATATTGACCAGGCGTGGTGCTAGCGGGCGAACCGGAGCGTTTTCCCCGCGAAACATGACGGTAGGCACATCGCGGCAGCAGATCCATACTCGGTACCATGGGGATGACTGCATTCACCCATGCAGCGGGCACGGATTCGGATGTAGATGCGATGGATCGGACATCGGATGCCTTGCTGGGCGAGGCGAGAGCGCCCGGACTGGGGTAGGTAAGGAAATGATTGCCGGTTGGGGTCTGGCACTGGCAGGGGGAGTCGATGTTACCATGTTACCATGGACGAAATTCAGAAATGAGAGTCGTGTTGGGGTGATGAGGCGAAGCACGGATAGAGCAGGCGCAAAGTGTTGTCGAGGAGATTGAGGAAATGAATGATCGATAGAACGGATGGTGGCTGATGCGCATGGTATGCGGGAAGGGATAAGTGATGCCTTGCCATTGGTGGGTTGACGTGCAAGTTGCAAGTCTCAGCTGTTTAGCTGCAATGTCGGCGGCAGCTGCGAAGAACTTTTCAACGCTGTTAGAAGAGGAGAACAGCTCAAAATTTTGCTAATAGAAATTCACGAGTCTAGCGGTGAGGCGGCTCATGGTGGCCATCGGTGCCTACCACTCCCTTTCCATCTCCCTCCAAAATACACCATTCGGTGGTACGTAACCTGGCTCTAAACATCACAACAACCCGCTCAGCACCTGGCAACGGCAGCATGTTACTCACGCTTGGGAAAGGGTTAGGGTCAAGGCTGTGCTAGGTGATTGCACCTTCCCAAGGTAATGGAGTCCGGATGGAAGCTGTGTGCCCCTCGCCAGTAGCCCCTGAAACCACCGCAGCACCCATCCCCAACTCATCGAAAATGCATGCCATTAACAAAACATAAAGCTTCACCGAACACCAGCCTTTGCGATGCCAACTTTCAACAAACAGTATATCTTGTAACAGTATATCTTGTCGGGTGGCTCAATGGTAGAGTGTTACTTTCCTGTGAGAATTCATACTCCCTATCTGGTAAAGGCTCTGGGTTCGAGTCCCAGCTCGATCGTTTCTTTTTCCCCGGCTTCTCTACAATGACCTGACTACGAGCTGATGATGCCTTGCAGGGCGGACCGACGACGCAATTGTGTAGAGGATGCCCAAATGGTAATGATCGACAAAACGGTACTCCCACTTTTGGCAGGACTATAGCAAACGAGCGGGTGGCGACAACTTCGATAACGAGGCGGTGCTCTCGCGGTTTGGGGGACAGAGTGCAGCTGACGCTTCCCATTCGCCTTCTATGGGTTCTGGAGACTCCAACCGTTGGACGATGACGGGGTAACTTTGATGTCGTGTGGCGGACGGCACCTCAAAAAATTCGAGACGTTCGTTATTATTGTCAAGCGAGCACGGCTAAGGCAGGTCCCCTTGGGGTCGAAAGGGATTCAACACTTGAGCCTTGATCACCATGATAATGCTCAATCACATGGCAATTGTAGCCGATTCTGCTATACACGAAGTATCCACGCTCGGGTATTCCTGTCTGTCCAACACCAAAGCTTCCCAATGCGCTCCAGCCAGCATCGTCAGACAGTGACACAGAACCCCGTAGCGCGTGGAGAGCACACAAAATGGGGCATAGCATGCGCCTCGCCGTCACTGGTTTCTCAGCGCGCGGGCCAGTCCGTCTTGATGTTGCGTGATGCGGCCACTGAGGTGTCTCGACCGCCAGAAGTGTTGCAAACAGAAAGGAAAATAGGGGGGTTTACTTACTCTCCGCCCCTAAATCGACACGTCCACAGCTATCAGGCCTCGAAACTTGTCAAACCCACAAACAGCCCTGTTTCAACCTCGAACCCCTATTCCGCGGCCCTCGAGGAGGTTGTGTTGCGATAATAGGCTTCGGAAATGGCCTCAGCTGCAGCCGGTGCCCAGGCCGCCGGAGCTCGGAATCCTTTCATTTCGGACCACATCAGGATGGTTGGACCCTATGGACCCCAGATGCGCATTCATAATGCTGTGTGCCGCCCGCGTTGCAGTGACCGTCCTGTCATGCGGAGCACCGTCCAGTACAGCGCGAACTGTGGGGCCGTTCTCGACCATCTGTGGAAGAAGAGGGGGTCAGTATCGGTACATTGACCGCTCCTCCTCAAAAATCCTCACTCGCCACATGTTGGCGGCATCCACTCATTCTGGCCACGGAATGAGAGGGTGTGGCATACGGGAGGCGTGGCTGCACAACTGCAACTCATACGGGACGAACGAGAAGGCAGAGTCGAGCCACACGGCGGCCTGGAAATAAGGGTAGGGTGCTTCCGTGTGGATTCCGGCTCCCGTGGTCCCGGGCCCATCCTTTTCTGCCGTTGCACGCGCATGATTATCATATACATACCCCCATCATCCTGTCACACGTCGCGGCCAGATGAGGAAGATACGGGTGCCGATCTTTGGAGATGACGGAGCGGCTTTTGCCCAGCCACAACGGTGTAGAAAACGGACAGAGGCTCTCAGCCACCCCGTTCGCTCCCACGACCGGCATATCAACCCCTTTTGTCGGGCCACAGTCGGCTCGGAGTTCGGCCAATGGCAGTAGCTACGGGAGCCGAGGGGTTTCAGCTACGCAGGGGGACACAAGTGCATATTCTGTGCTACGTACGGCACATATAGGCATCAAGACTGCCATCGGCTCCTGCTCTGGTTTATCTTCTGGCGCGGAGAATGCGGCCTACGAATCTGCAGGCTGGTATAGCGAGTGGCACTCATGACTCCCATGATTATCGGTGGACTGGGGCTGGGGGATAGTAGCTTCTTGGGAAGGGGGTGACGGTATTAGGGAGGGAGAGGTGAGTAGAGCACCCTGGTTCCCTAACCGAATCCATTACGCTAACGCATGTACTTTGTCTGGACGGTTAGACGCCTAGGTTAGCTGCCAAGAGAGACTGCAGCGAGTTTCTGTATGTCGCTGCAGGTTAAAGCGCGGTTATTCCTGCGACCGGAAACCTGCAGGTCAGCTCGACCCGGCAACTGGTTCGCCGCCCAACCGTCCCGTAGGGCCTAGAGCGGCGGAGGAAGATTCGACGGACGAGGATGGGATGTGGGTGAGAAGGTGATGGTGGATTCCAAGTGGAAGAGGACGAGATTTCGCGTTCGTTCGCCACAGCTCGTGCATATCATATTCCATGATTGGAACCAACCAGCCACGGAAGCGTTGCGGTGATCAGTCGACGGAATTGGCCAGTAGTACTGGGGGGCTGAGCATTCTGATACGACAATATGCAGTATTGCGACGACCACCGCCACCTAGGGGCTTGAGTGTTGGAAGGATGATCACCGCCACAGGTTGGTAGGAAAACTGGATGGGGGCGAGGAGCCACATATGTGGCGAATGTTGGCACTTTTACCCCTAGATTTCTACGGAGACACGCCATGGGTGGGAGAAGTCAACTCTGCAGAGATCGGCAAGGGGTCCTTCTCGCTTGGGAGGAGAAATGTGTGGTGATATTTTGTCATGTGGGTGATCTCCCGTGAGGAGGGACGATTGGAGGCTGTGCTGTGAAGGGAGGCTCCAACGCACCACGGCTACCCACCCATTTATAGATCTACCTACACGCACTGTGGTAAAAGGGTCCCTGAATCGCCAATCTGAAGAGGATTGGAGATGGTAATTGGTGCCTAGTAGCGAGTGAGGAAGCTGTTCATACGTCTGGCAGCTGTCGGGGGCAAGGGGAGCCGAAAGGTTGCCAGTCGTAGCATTCGTGGAGGTCTCCTCAAAATTCTCTAGCATAGCCTCTTTTTGGGGGAAATGATAGAGAACTATACCTCGAGGTTACTCCTACTAGGGACCCATTCTAAGGGAGGCTTTTCCGTGCCATACGCCGAATAGGGGCTTCTTGTCAGCTCATCTATCACGTAATTCCTAGAATCAATTGACGTGAAGCTGACACGGCTATCATTGAAACCTAGAAAAAGCATGGCCAAAAAAGATTGAACAAAATGCTAAAAGACTTCGGGTGGTGAGGGGCTGTATTGTTGAGGTAGAGAACACTCTATCTCCCCTGCCAAGTTTTGATCGACGTTGGTGACATCGTGATTTCCGCGACGTCATCGCTTGGCAACGGTTGGTGGGCACGTGGTGGGCAAAAAAGAACTCGATGCTTAAAAAGATGCAATTGGAATGAATTCCATCGAAGATGAAAATTAAACTGTGTAAGACCGGTCCATTAGTCGGACCAGTTTTTGAAGACCCGTCCCTTAAATTGGCCCTTCTTAGCTTCTGCGGCCCAAATACAAGATGCTGAGATGCAGTGGTTTCTCCTGGCATGAGCAGCATTTAGAGATACGACCTCATCGGTTTCAAGAAATCTTATTGTTGTGAGCTACGCTAAGGAGCTTATCGCTTGATGTCGCCCAATCGAAGCACTAGACGTGATGTACAAGTTGGGGGCTGGCCTCGATTGACCTCTCAAGGCGCAAGAGAACAACACCGTGACATGACCCTGAAAAATAGGCGATTTAAGAAGATGGCGTGAGTCCGGGTTGCCTTCTAAATAGGTGCCTCTGAATATTCTTCCGGTGAGGAAATCTCTCGGGAGGATCATCGTCAATGGAAAGCTCTGAAAATCTAAAGGGGTATCCCCGCCTGAGCAAGCCATTCCTGAACCAAGAGTAGTCACCGAGGGTTATCGCTGTGGTTGGGGATGGTTTTTGGATGGGAATGGGTATGCCTCCATCGTCGCTGCCGTTGCTGTCGGATGAGCTAGAACCCGATGAGCCGCTGCCAGAGCTTTGAGGCCCCGGGGCCTCTTTGTTTGGGCTGGCATTGTCTTGCATTGGGAGTTAGACAAATCTTGTCTCAGCACCACAACGCTCTAGGAGGTGGTTGTCCCGCGCCTGAAACACGTTTGAACTGAACCTCGGCGTAGTACTGGCGCTCACCATTCTTATAAGTTAGCCAATCACCATGGTGAGCAGTCTTGGCCCACTATGTTGCGGAGTGCTTCGTTAGCATATGCTGACTTCGAACTCGCAAGCCGGACAGAAGCATAAAGCTCTCAAACCATACCTGCTGATCGCTCGGGTCTTTCTTAGCACTGGAAATGCTCTCCCACACCATCGCCGCCACCTTTTCTCGTATGGAACGATCCTCTTCACTCACTAGGATGTCCTCCACAATATCCATTAGGTGCGGAACACCATGGATAGATAGATGCCTCTGGATCGTTGGGGTTCCCGGCAATCTAATCCGAGTGCATGGCCGGGGGAATGTCCTCTTTACACTGCGCGACAAGTATGCACTTACCCTTCAACAACTTAAGTAATTGGGCATGATGGTGTGGCTCCATGATGTGGTTGACAACGGAGAGTGGAGAGCGAAGGTTCGATGATGCGTGTCAAGACGATGTTTTATAGATCGCTCAAAGAATGGCAAGGGTTGTCGGTATGCCTCCTAGCTTCCTTCTTCGTGAAATGGGGGGCTTGATAAACACCTCAAGAATGGAAGGGATGGGTATGATGTTTGATGTATTGTAACTGGCCACCAGGCCCTCGAGCATGACCTACTCCACAGCCACACATTATGGCATCAGCACAAGACCACCACACAGGTTCCCAAGGCCTTGTCCGTTTAAAAAAGCCCATGAGGCACCGAACTCCGAAGCTTTTCGAATATCCAGCGTGTGCCTAAACGATAGGCGACCAACCACCCATCACTTTACGTATGGGCCAGGGAAAGTTGGCCATAGCGGTGTCGTTATGAGGACGTTTGCGAAAGTCAGTGGTGCCATGATGCCATATGCTGTTCCAAAAAATAATTCCGTCCAAAATTCGACGTTGTTTGGTTGTGTGATTTGAACATTGGAAATTCGATGCTCCACTTTGTCGATGAGTGATGGTAACGATGCCAGCCCCTAAGAAACTCAGGGGTGGTTGGTCCTGACTCAGCTGCCTTACATCGGACGTTCACGTCTCTTTGAACTATGATAGCGCAAAACATAGACATCATGATGGGGGTTTGTTTAGAGAATTGGCATACCCACGCTTGCGGGGGTCTTTGCCAAAATTTGGATC